ATATATATATATATATATATATATATAAAAGGTTGAGTTCCTATGAGAATGTAAGTTATATGAGAACAGTAAGAATAGATCTTCATCATTGGATTAATTCTAATTAAAGATCAACATTAATAAGATGCATCGAATCAGTTCTCTTTTAGAACATAATTCATAGAAGAGAATGAGATTAAAAGTGATTAAAGATAGAAAGATCTTTTCTTTTATAAGTTAATGATCTAACGGTCTAAATTGCACGGTGGCAATTTGGTAATTATTAAGAAATCTCGTGGCGTTTATGAATGTATAGATTGTCAGATTATAGATCTAATCCACGGGTTGAGAATTGGTTTTACGGTTCTTACAAAAAACCATTGGTCTTACGTGAACCCAACCCTATATATATATACACACACACGTATATAGACACACGATGGAATCTTATGGGAAAAATCAACAAAGTGGAAAAAAGAAAAATTTGTTTGTATCAACGGAGAAGAGGGAGAGGGTCGCAACAGTAACCCAAAAGGAATCCGTCAAAGACCGACATACCCGCTAGCATCCCTTGGGCCCCACCCCCTCTTCTTTTTTTATTTTCATTTCTCCTTTTTTAATATTTTTAAACCCAAAAATACAATACAATATTATATATCTTATTTTACTTTCCACTTACATAAATAATGACTAATTTACATTTCAATTTTCCTTCAATTTGTTAGTTAAAATGGGTAAAAGTTAGAAGTAACTAAGCGTTTTTGTTATCCGATTTAGGGGTGTTTGAGATTGTTTATAAAAAAGAACTTATTAACTTATTCTGGTGTAGCATCGGTAATAAGTATTTTTGATTGTTTTGATAAACAACTTATACACCGGTAATAAGGAGTTCATAAAAAAATTAAACCCTTCTAACTTATAATAAGTTAATAAGTGTTTTTATAAAAAAAACATAAGTTGTTTCAAATAAGTAATCCCAAACACCCCCTTAAAGGGAGAAAGCATTCACCGTTACATTATAGATAGAAATTAAAGCCACATTTAGGTGTATGTTTAGTTAGTTTTCTATTATGTTATGATGAATAAAATTGTTTGTATAGAGTGTAAATGTTTTATTTTAGAGGGGTTTTTATAGATGAAATAACAAGTTTTTTAATTGGAGACAGTTTAAAAAAAAATTTGATTTTATGCATAATGTTTCTCTAGAAGCTTACTGAACAAGCATATATATATATATATATATATATATTTCTTTTACAACCTTGTGCATTTGTACAACATTTGCAACACAATTAATTGAGATATTTATAGAAATGATTGGAGTTCATTTATTATCATTAAACCACTATCAAACCATCGTGTATTACTCACTAAATAAATTATAAGTTCCGTTAAACTGATTAATTAAGCTATCTGCTACCAAGCAGACCTTTAAATATGTTTAGGTATATCTTGTCCTATATATTTAAAAAAAAATACATACATACATATATATATATATATGTATGTAAATCAATAATACATAATAATTAGACATATCATACTAAAATAATGGTTGTTATATGTGTACACACATGTATGCATTAATATAATATATTAATACTACTTTTATGTTCTAAAAAACCTTATAAGAATGTATATAACTCATTAAACTGTAAATAAGAGAATTTAAATATTTTTTATCATATCGACTGATTTTTTAAGTTATGTTAATTATAAGAAATCGCGGGTGTCGTATCTTTCTCTCTTCCCGATGCATGTGAACCCATAAATGAAAGTTCAGCGTACTATAAGAGAAGAATGTACGACAATTGTCGGGATTCGTTATTCGACCTCAAAGAGAATTAAAGAGTTAGCATTTATTAATATAGAGGGGAGGGGGGGGGGGTAGGGTGTGGAATGGTGAAGAAGCAGTCCCCTCTATAATTAACCCATGGACAAATTTCCCTCTTTGAAAACTTAGCCCTAGATATATAGCTGACCTTTCCCCATAACTTAAATACTTCCATCTATTATATCTTTTGAGTCCATTCTCTAGTCTTACAAAACATATAGTACACACTATTATACACATGGTCCCCATGGCCATGCCCATGGCCCATATGTATGTATGTATGTACATGCAAGTATGAAAAGGAATATTTTCATTTATTTATTGAAGCATACATATAGACAAGTCCATCCTTAGACTTTTAAAGGGTCTTAGTCATGCCCATTTCTTGGTCATTTGTTAGCTATCAGATTCAAAGCTAAATATATCTTATCAAGACTTGGTTGTTTGAAAAAGTAGACTATGTTCTCATCATGATTCTTTAAAGATGGAAGATTTCAAGAATTTCTCTGATCTTGATTGAAGTTATAAAAAAGATTCAAGAAAAGAGATGATCATGGAAGATGGAGATTGTGATTGTGATGGTTCAGACATGAATGATCATCATGACCACTTGTGTTGCAGGAAACTTGATCAAGATGATGATCTTGACGGAAACAAGATCACGAAATCGAATGAGAGCTCCGGGAATAACAGCATGGTGGATCAAGTGGATCAGAAGTTGGAAGCATCTGGTAGAGTTAGGCAGTATGTTAGATCCAAGATGCCTAGATTGAGATGGACTCCTGAGCTTCATCTCATCTTTGTTCGAGCTGTGGAACGACTTGGTGGTCAAGAAAGTAATTGAATTCATCGATTAAACCTTAATTTTCTTGAAATTTATCGATCGGTTTAGTTTCTAGGGCTCTTGATTTTTTGTAATGATTTGAATTACTTTGTGTGTTTTTGTAGGAGCTACTCCTAAACTAGTTCTACAACTGATGAACATGAAGGGTCTCAGCATTGCTCATGTGAAAAGCCACCTACAGGTGACGATTTAATTATTAAATATTAATATTTTCTTGTAATTTTCAAGATTCTTGATGAATTATTGATTTTATTTTGTTACAAAAATATAGATGTATCGAAGCAAGAAGATCGACGATCAGGGCCAAGGTATATATATATATATGTTCAAATTCTATGTGTTTAACAGTAGCACTGATTCCATTTTCTGCTTTCTTTTTTCAGATTAGGGTTTGATTAATATTCTTGATCTTTCTTGATTTGCTATGGTTATAATTTCTTTTACTTTCTATTTTTAGTAATAAATGAGGGAGACTACTGTGCTGGGAGAAACAATCATCATCTTAACAGTTTCTGGCAACTTCCCATGTTCAATCCAAGATTATTTAGGCCTGATCCAAGGTACCCACATATATACTTTTCTTTCATAAATTACTTTCTTGATTCTATCCATCTTTGAACTAACATCATTCAACCACATAATTATCGATGCAGGAACTACGAACCACACTTAATATCAAGGCCATGGAGAAACAACACAAGTGCTACAATGGCAGATCATCATGGTTTGATCATTGGCAATGGAGCTTACTGTACGAGCAAGAAATTGAAGAACTCATCAATGGAGGAACAAAATTACACGATTGCCCATCCTGAGTATGAGGATGAACAAGCAAGATTGATGCAAGAATGGGTAGTCAAACAAGCCTTAATAACCAACACTAGGTCAACTCTAGTAGGTCATCAACCCATAAATAGTCAAAGATTTGATAACCCAATTCAAACAAAGAAAAGGAAAGCAGCTGCAGACGTTAATGGTGATCTTGATCTGAACCTATCATTAAGTATGAAAGTTATAAGACAAGAAGAGACAGCAGCAGACGAAGAAGAAACTGTAGATAGCTCTTTATCTCTTTCGTTATTCCCTTCTTCTCCAAAGAAGGAAAAACCCGTTCGAGATCCACAGGCACAATCCAGATTCAGCTGGTTATTAGAAGACCACAAAGGTGCAAAGAATCCAAGATTGGCGAGTACTCTAGATCTGACTATATGAATTCACGAATTCTAGTGAGATGTTGTTGGTACTCGCTTATTTAATTTTTTTAGGGTTTGTAATGATAATTATTGATGTTTGCCACAAGCAGAACTTATGAGTATATTAGCTGGTTTTAATTAAATATTGAGTTTCATGAATCCATGTATGTTTTCTTGATGTTTATATCAAACTGTACGTCGTTGCCCTAGGATGGTGGTGGTGGTGGTGGTGGGTGGTGGTGGTTAGAAAGAGCAGACATTCTTGCCATGCATGAACATTGATCCATGATATATCACACCCCCCTAAGATTAAGGTGAAAATATGTTGTCTTTACTTGCTCAGTTTTCTTGTTGTTTACAAAGACTTTGAAATCTGTTGTGTTTCCCTATATGGATATATGTTTAATTAATGTTGGTACATAAAAACTAGCAGCTACTGCATACTTCAATGTCCATTTTATTTATATTTTTATCCAAAAGGTAATATTTCCCATGATCCAATTTTTTTTACTTTTATCTTACAACAAACAAAAGTTTAAACCAATTGATTATTAGTAATTGTATTTCATTATTTCTTGATATATAATTAATAATCACAATTAAACACTTGTATTTGATTATTTGTATAACTTAGGGGCCGTTTATCAGTGTTTACCGGTAAAATTAAACACTATTATGTACTTATCGGGTAAGATTTTAATCCACCAAAATGACATAGTATGCAACAATTTACCCGGTAAACGCTTATCGTGGTAAGAGTGGTCGCTCTAACTTACCGGGTAAGACTCTTGGTCTTTGTCACGTTCTTACCGGGTAAGATTATTGTTTCTTACTATACTCATCCAGAGGTAATGTTAGTTAGTAAGCGCTTACCCGGATAAACATTTGGTAAACGGCCCCTTAGACTCTATAACAAGTCAGGATTGATCGATGAAAAAGAAAAAAAAGCATCGAGTCATACATTATATTTGAAGTGCTTTTCATTTCTCGATTACTCTTCAGATAGATTGTGTTGGGAATGCCATAACCGTGATAGGAAGTGATGGGAAATGGCTTATAGATCCTGAGATAGAATCATAGAAGAACCGAGCTTGAAATAGTGCAAAAACCGGGGACCGGTGATGGGGACAGAGATCCTTGAATTAAAGTTAAAAACCGGGGACGGGGAGGGTAATGTGGTCCCTGCCCCGTCTCCAAATATTAAATATATTATATTATTTTATTATAAAATATATTGTTTATTATAAAGAATTAGATTTAATATCATGAAATAGTATTTTAATATTTCTTCTTGTATACATTTTTTTAGTTTCTTACTTTTCTTAAATAAAAACAACCTTAAAAGCCGAAAGTGTTTGATCAAACAATTACGTATGATGTGATTTTGTTCACATATGAATATTTGATGCTCTATAAGAACAAATTTTGAAAATATTTGAGATTTAAGCATGAACCATTATCGATCAAGTATGGTGTTTAACATATTTTATTTAAAACATCTTATATTAACAGGAAAAAAATCCCTGATTTCCCATAGGGGATCCCCTCGAGGACCGAGATCGGGATCATCCCAACCCTATTCCTATGCCTATATAGAAGGGTTTGGGAGCGTTATAGGCAAAAACTCATGATCTAGATATGGCTAATATAATGTCTGTCTATCAAGAAACCCTAACCTCCAATTGGTCTTTGGCCTAGAGCTTCTCAGGAGGATGCATGAGTTCATTTTCCGTATATAAATATTATATTCTTCCAGTAAATCCATAACTGTTTGTAAAGGAAGATGTTAAAAGATGCTTTCAGGGTACTCCATGGGAACTCAAGCTTTGTCAAAGGTCTCGAGCTAGTTTGGGCTTAAAACTTTTGCCTACGATATGTTTCAAGTCTTCGTACGACTTTTATATATGGGGTTGGTACGTAAACGTTTCAGATAAGGTTAATTACACAAAAAAAAAAGTTCTGGAATCACAATTTTCAAGAAATTAAGGTTACGAGAGGTTTAATGTATTACTACACCTATATGTGATATAAGATATAAAGTTTTTATTGTAATTGTGAATGAAAAAGTAATATAATTTTTCAGTTAAAATTTTTGAAATTTATGTTTGAACATAAATGATCAGATATGCTAAATTGCTTAAATTTTTTTGAGACACGACTCAAAACAACCCACAATTACACCTACACACTTCAAACATTTGACTTATATTAATTTGTACGTTTTATAACAAAATAACAACAAAAAATACAGCGTTCCAAAAAAATTGGACTTTACTTACAGACAAGAAACTTATTTTACCTTTTATTGTTCCACCTAGGAATTTGATAAACCAAAATTTTTAATGTATTAATGATTTATAAATAATATTTTATAGATGTGATATAATGGAAAATTTATTAAAATAACTGTTTTTCAAGGTGGTTTCACCTCATAGTCATTTTCTCTCCAAGTTTACAAAAATAGCTATGGATCTGTAAAACCCATGTCTGCAATTACGGACCCAACTAAATTAAAAAAAATTACACTTTCTAGTTTCTACCCCTGTCTATAAAAAAATTATATTTTTCACCCATATCCATAAAAAAAACTATATTTCTCACTCAGGTTTGTAAATAAAAAAATTGTGGACCTAAAGCTGTAAACCTTGTAAAGAAATGATTAAAAGGTGAAACCAACCGATAAAAATAACTATTTTAGGGGGTGTTTGGGATTGCTTATCAAAATTGCTTTTTAACTTATTTCAGTCTGGCACCGGAGATAAGCTGTTTTGTAGTGTTTGGGTAGAAAGAAAAAAAATTGATTATGCCGGTACCAAACCGGTAATAAGCAGTTTTTGATAAGTAAAACCTTCTTGACTTATGAAAATCAACTTATTACCATTTTACCATTTTAACCCTGTGGTGTAACACCCTTTCATCGAACAGATATCTCCAAGAGACTGTGCACATCGATATCCATCTTCTCCAACAAACTGCATATCGATATCATCTTCTCCAACAGACTGTGCATAAACCTGCGCTAGATTGGGACTGCTTCGATGCTTCTACTCATCAAATCGGTAAGAAAGGTGATAGGTGAAGGATTTCTCTGATACCCAGTTGTCAAACTCTGCCATTTTTCAGTTGCATAGATGAAGGAGAAGATGGGTTCTACCATTAGAACTTGCTATAGTGATGTATTGCCATTCACAGCAGTGGTGATGGTCGAGTGCATTATTGTAGGCGGAAATACATTATTCAAATCAGCCACTGCTCAAGGAATCAACTCATACGTCTTCCTCGTCGACTTCCTTTTCCTCTTACCTTGTCCATTCTTCATCCGCATGCAATTTTCATTTTTAATCGTTTCATCACTTGGTATTATGCAAGATCCCCCTATTTCCAATTCAACTTCGTGTTTCAATTTCTTTTGCAGAAGTTCGAACAACCAGGGGCTGAAATTCTCCATCGTTATCAAGCTTTTCCTTCTTAGCTTGATAGGGTAATTCATCTTGAATTCGGTCTTAACATCTGTAGAAATTATTGAATTTGCTATCTTGACTTTTTCAAATGATGAAAAATAAATTTTTTATACGTTAAAAAATCAAATAAGTTAATAAGCAATCCCAAACACTCCTGTAAGTCAATAATATAGAAGACTGTTCTTTTTGGTCATTTTACAGATATAAGCAAAATTTGCCAAACACTAAAAAACAACTTATCAGCTTATTGCAGTTTGGTACCGATATAAGCTAATCCAAACACTTTTTACAAAACTCCGGTTTGATACCGCATAAATTAATAAGCACTTTTACAAAAAAACATAAGTTGTTTTAAATAAGCAATCCCAAACACCCCCTTAGTTAATTTATTTTTTTAAACTTAAAATTCTTTAAATATTTCATTCTTTTATTATTTATCTCAGTCGATGTTATAGTATGATCTTATTTAATTTTGAAAAAACGATGATGTTTTTATATTTGAATAAACTTGAAAATATCATAAAAATTTGACAAAAATATGTTGATATTAATATCAAGTTAACTATTTAAAATTTATATTTTTTGTGTAATTTTTAATTCAATTTTTTTATTATAATTTAGTTTAGGTTTAATTAAGAAGTAACTTATATTTGGTTTAATAATATAATTTTTTTATAAAAATAATAATTAATTATTTTTTTATAAAAATAATAATTAATTATTTTTTATAACTCGATAATTATCTTAATTATATTTTAGATTTTTTTACTTTAAAATGAGTTGTCTATCATCTATTTGATTATGTTTATCTGCAGTTAATTACACGAATCAAACATGAAACTTTAATAAATGCATAATTTACTTGTAATCTTGAATTTTAAGTAATATGCATCAATATACAGTACTTCATACATAAAAAATAATTCTTAAAAGTTTATATCAAATGTTTTATAATATAGTATAGATAATGTTTATAAGATGGTCAAAAAATAGATACCAAGCTGTTTAGCCGAAGACATACTAGGCTCAGTTGAAGATCAGACAGTCAAGCAAAATAAACAAGCACTCAGAAGCCTTTATTTGATCCGATTCGGCTAGGCTCGGATCAGCCCAGCTCGGAAATATATTTAAGCTTTAATTTATGAATACAGACATCTGACAGTTTGGCCGAGTGGTCTAAGGCGCCAGATTTAGGCTCTGGTCCGAAAGGGCGTGGGTTCAAATCCCACAGCTGTCACATTTTATTTTGTTTTATTTTTTAATTTTTCTTCAATAAAAAACTTTTTCAGATAAATATATACGAATCGGATCCTTTCCGGATCCATTAACCCGAAATTATCCCCTCCCCCCGATCTCCGCCTCTACCACCATCAAATCATTAATTTTCCGGCGATCCGCCCACTTTTTCCAAGACGATTTCTCTGAACTTGTTCTATTTTCATCTGTAGGTACGTTTTCTACATCACAGAAACTAAGAATTCCTGTTTTGCTAATTTGATATTATTTCAGACAGTATTTGATTAATCTAGCAGCTTTTGATCTCATTGTCATGTTGTTTGTATGCTAATTAAAGTTTATCAGAGCTCTCCGGTCGCCATTTGTTACTGGATCGTGTTGTTTTCTGTCTAGTTTCTGGTATTCGATTTGATCTACGGGGTAATTTCTAGGTTTCTGTTTGAATCCCTAAATTATTGTTTGCTGCGGAAGAACAATCATCGATTTTTCATTATGCGATTGCAGATGAACAGACCCTAGTTATTGGATTGGAGTACGTTTTAACGTTATTCTGTAGTAATTTTTGTAATCAATGTTCAATACTTTGGTTATCGTATGCTGAAGGTTTGATTGTTGTTTCATGTTAGGTACCAAATATTCGGGTTTGAATTATGTCTGCTCCCGATGAGAATAACAAGTCTAGTCATACACAGGTTTCTTCAGTTATTATATTATGATTACTGGATTTCAGTTGTTCAATAGCATATTCTGTACCAATTGTGCTTTTCTTTCTTCACAATCTGGATGTTATAAAGGATTATTGACCATAGGCAAAACTTCAGCTGCTGCATCATGGGTGCCAGAAATATTGTTGGTGTTCAAATTGTTTGTTCATCGTAAAAGAGCCAAATCTATAGCCCTAGGGTTTGTTGATGTGCTGCTATGATTGTTCATAAAACCTCAAGCTTTCATCATGAATATGGTTCTGACTGCACTGGTGTTTCCTAAATGATTTTTTAGGCTTGATGTGAGAGTTTAGGGATGCTATTAGCTGCATTCGGCTTATTAGCATCTTTATTTGAGATGAAACTGTGCTTTTAATCATTGGAAGCTATCTTGATATAAGAGCAATCTTCTACTTTTGCTTCTTGTTTTTCTCTCAGTAATTTTCTGTGTCTTCATGGTTAAATCCTTGTCTTATCTTGTCAATTTGACTCTTTTCCGATGCCATGAGTATGAGATGGGTAGTATTTTTTTATCATAGTCCTACTTCTTTACTAGCCGGGTCTTGCTTCTGCAGCTTGCATCCCATTTCTTCAGTGAACTTCTAGACTCTGTAATTATGGATGTTGCATCCGAGTCTCACCGAATCGCAAGATTGGGACTGGACCGTAATTTAGATGATGAAGAAGAAGAACTGAGGTTGTCAGCACAAGCCAGGGCCAGATTAGCGGATCCGAGCAATAGTGAAGCAAATAGCAAATATGTAGTAGACATTTTCGGACAAACACATCCTCCTGTAGCCAGCGAAATATTTGATTGCATGAACTGTGGCCGATCCATTGTTGCTGGAAGATTTGCTCCTCATTTGGAGAAATGCATGGGGAAGGTAAATACTTCAGTTTTTCTAGTAATCCTTGAATTTTATTTCATACTTTTTCTCTAATCAATTGCTAAATGCTCATATCTCTACATTTTTGTTGCTGGATATGAGATCTGATGTAACTCTACACCAAAGCACTACTTCCAATTTTATTAGAAAATTGTTGTTATTAACATTGGTTACAGCCTTTTGTTTGTATATATGTGATAATACGTAGAACCCCCTTTGATTACTCTTCAAAAGAAGCCCCGAGGAGAGAAGGGAGGTTCCAATATATATTGATAAAAAATGGTCAAGTCTATATGTGCAACTCTAGAACACCCCCTCCAACTGAGGCTAGATGGGGAAAGATTGTCCGAGGTGTCAAGAGGGAGCTAGACGAGTACAAATTGCCCCAGAGTGTCAAGTCCCTAAAGTGATAGATCTTGGCTCCGATACCATGTGAGTTTATGTGGAACCCCATTAGATTACTCTTCAAAACAAGTCTTGAGGAGAGAAGCGGGGTTCCAACATATTTTAAGGAGAAAGGATCAAGTCTAGCCGATGTGAAACTCTAAAACGCCCCCTCCAACGGAGGTTAGAAGTGCACAGATTACCCCAGAGTGTCAAGAGGGGGATAGACGAGTATAGATTTCCCCAGAGTGTCAAGTCCTTGGAGTGGTAGACATCGGCTTTGATACCATGTGAGTATATGTGAAACACCATTAGATTACCTACTAAAAGAGCTATTGACGAGAGAAAGGAGGTTCCAATATATTTTGAAAGAAATGGTCCAAAACTTGCCGAGGTGAGACTCTTAACAATACTTATCATGAATTCATGAGATGTAATACCAATTCCAACAACAACTGTGCGCATATAGGCAAATTATCGAACCATGTAAAATGCTACGGCTTTTAATTTTCACTTCCTGCATTATTATTTTTCTATGTAATTATCTCTCAATTCCTAATTTTTGTATATGTGACGTGTAAAGAATTCTACCAGTAAACAAGGCGTAAGCTCGATTTCGATCCTTTTAGCATGTTGAATTATAGTTTGTTAGGAGTAGGATAAAACGTTTAAAGGTTCCATTTTTGCATATCGTCTCCCCCTTCTGTGCCCCCAGGTCAAGTGAATTGAGACTCCATGATCATATGTTTGTTTCTTTTGTCATCATAAATAGGATCCACAAAATAAAAATGTATTTAGATCAAAAGATTTGATATTGTTTTTTTTTTCACAGGGGAGGAAAGCACGGGTCAAAGCAACAAGAAGCAGTACAGCTGCTGCACAGAACCGGTACACACCCAACTCTGTTTCCATAAACTCAAAATATTCTTGTTTATTCTTCCAAAATAGAGAAGCAAAAGTTAAAATCTCCAAAAGTTACATTCGATCTCCAACAGTTTCTTTATTTTGGAGATTTGAACGTTAAGTATATTGTTAAAATATGATGCAGCGTATAATAACGATCGCTGATTCAGTGAGTACGAACCTTAGGATTCAAATTTGAGTTCACCATGAACTCAAAATTTGGGAAGAAAATGGAAGTTTCTGAATTTCCAGTCTTTCCGGTTTGACCATCCAAATTACATCAGAAACATATATATAAGAGAACTAAAACGAAATGGGCCCATCTTAAAAGTCCAAACGAAAAATTAAAAACATAGGAAAAAACATAAATGTGTCTAGAAACATGTTCAAACAACGTCTTTAGGCCTTGAAAATCTTGTAGGCCCTTTGGCACCTACCTAGGGTGTGCTACCCGTTCCCAGCTTCGAACGGAGTTCTGTAGCAAAAATTATGGCCGTTTAAGCGGGGCGCCCCTTTTAGCCCGGTCATGGGCCTCCAAGACCAAGAACAAGAAAGCTTGGTCCTCCATGCCAAGGCCGCATCAAAATATTCAATATATATCTCATGAAATTATATGAAATGATAATACATTCAACCTTCTTTGTGAGAACCAAAAAAAATATATTTCTCTATTTAGCGTTTAATTTTTTATGGTTCTCCAAATTTGGAGATTTTTATCTCCATCTCTTACTTTTTCAATTACGGAAAAAGTTTTGAATAATCTATTGGAGCAAAAAAAAGGTTAAAGAACTCCAAAAGCTCCTTTTTCTCGATTATGGAGAATTTGTTTCAACTCTTTACCAAATGGAAATTCGGGTTCTGTAGGTGATGCCGATTCTTAATTGCAGCATTGGGAGAAACACAATCAAACACCGGCGGATTCGCAGACACTAACCGAAACAGTCGAAAACGAGGTTGGCCAAGATGCTTCGCGAACGAACTGCCCAACTCTTGAATTTACTTTGAACAAATATACTTGGGATTTCTTCATTAGCCGAATACATCATGTTCCCAGTATTTTGGTAGTATATAAAAATGGTTTTACATTCATACGACTTGGTATTTGTGGTTTATGTGGAACAATGTAAAATAAAGTGGAACAGGCGTGTTCAACTCCTTCCTCATGGAACAAGGTGGAATAGATCTGTATTTTACTAATATAATCTCAAAATAAAACTTATTTTTTTTCCTTAAAACATCAAATATGTCTCCCTTTTTACGTTTTATTTTTTCATTTTTAAATTTTCAGTTTATTGTCTTCAAAATATTGTTTTTATACTATATTTTGATTAATTTATGGAATTTCTTAAATATCAATAATGAAAAATAAAATTAAGAAATTAATAAACTTCATTTTTTGTTTCGGTTTAATGATATATTTTGTTATAAAAAAATAATATTTGTTTATTTTATAATTCAATAAATTAATTAAAATAAAGAAAAGATATATAAACAATTCGTTATCGATAAATTGGTTATTTTAGCGGTCATGTACAAATAGAGGTGCTCAGGGGTTGGGTTTATCGGGTTGAAGACATTTGAACAACCCAACCCAATGCTTGCGGTTTGAAAAATCTTAATCCACCCCAACCCAAACCAAAGTGTAACCCAACCCAATCTATACGGGTTGGTCGGGTTGATACTTTGGTACATCAAAATATTCTTCTAATTTTAAATATGTTATTTTTCTACTCATAATTTCTTTTTCATCATCAACCATTTGATACAACTTATCCATATTTAGTTAATTTTCTCAATTTACATATATATGTTCACAGTTACTAAACATATATACGAATGAGTTATATAAAGATGTGAATAAAATTGAAAATATGTGTATATGAAGAGCATACATGATAGTGTAATTGTCTAATGTATATATTAATATAAATTCAACAATCATATTAAATCCAAAAATTAAAGGATATCAGGTTGGGTTGGGTTCAAATAATAGTAACCCACTATCAACCTGATACCTATGGTTTGAATCGGATTGCGTTATTTCACGCTGGGTTTGGTTGATCAGGTTTTTGAGCACCCACACAACCTTAAGAATCGGAAAAACTAAATTAATTTTTTTTAATTCCGTTGCCGGGACTTGAACCCGGGTCTTTCGGGTGAGAGCCAAATATCCTGACCAACTAGACTACAACGGATTCTTATTCTTTTTTACACTCTTATATATTTATATAATATTTCACCTCTGAAATTAAAACATTTTCCAGTTTCCAATTATTTTCAAATTGCTTAATATTATTGATTTACTAGTAGTAATTAAAAAAACTTATGTGCATAAATAATTATAGTATGATATAAAAATTTGTCTCATAAGTTATGTTTTGAAAAACATTGTGGTCTTGTCATGACTGTTAAGGCTTAAGGTTTGACCTTGTTGTCACGTCACGTCTCACACCATTAGAATTTTGCTAAAAACACTAATGAAAGAAACGGGATGCCACATAAAGCCCTACCCTCAAAGTAGTAACATGTCGTAGATACCACAATGATGAGGTAATTTCGACATGCCATGTTTTGCCAGTATTCTTCAAAGAGATTTGGTTGGACATGTGAAATAATCATAGGGAACAACATGTCGTTAAAAACGTACATCACACTAAACGAGTCTTCAAGATACAAACAAAGCACGTTTTATGCCAGAAGTTTTCTTGACACCGAAACAAAATAGCAAATACAATTACAACAACTAACAAAAATACAAAAAGTACCATCAAGGGATACATCGAAAAAGACAAAAATAATTATTTGGAGTAGATTAACGATCTTAGACGCAAGTTTATCTGCACTTGAATGTATGTTAATTATCGATTTAAATCCGAAAACGATACATTAGACAACGTCAACCGGTCGTTAATCAAATAATACAAAATGTAATTACCAGGTTCCACTATCAATATAAATTGCTTCTTAATATTGTATTACACGTGTTAATCATTTTGTTTAACTAATAAAACACATACATACATACATGGAAACCAACTATTCATGTATTATTCATAATGAATATTGTGATAAATATCTTTAATAAAAATTATTCATAATAAAAAAAGCATTATAATAATAATAAATTATATGATATTTCACGACAAATAAATATTAAATAACTATGTGTTATGAATAAGGTGACGGATTGTGAGAGAAATGAAGTTATGGTGAGAAGCTTAAGAAGAGATCTGAACCCTTGATCACTTTTAGTTTCATGTTAACCCATGAATTGCGCTTTAGAAAGGAATTGGTCTGGTGCATCTCGGTGCACCTCATTAGTGTTGACATTCGATTAGGATTAATTTAAGAGTGAAGATCTCTTCTTACGCTTCTCACTATAACTTTTCTTCTCACCGGAACCCAACTCTTATGAATAATTGATGAAATAGCTTATGTATACATCCTCATAATGCAAATGTTTGTATATAACTTTCATGAAGAGTTTTCAATATAAAAATACTTATATTGTAGGATCAACTTAAACATACATGTATCTACATACATACATGTGTGTATATGTATGTATATACATATATGTGCATGTATATGGACTTAATCATTTGAGAACTCTATATATTTGTAACAACCATGAAAACTTTTATCTTAATGTATTGTTTCACACGATTTTTTCTCATATAAGGCTAACATTAATGTATTGATGAACATATATTTGTTTCACAATGTGTATGCCTCATATATATCTGGTTCATAATGTGAAATTTTTTTGTGTGTAACTTTTGTTTCACAAACAGGCTAAAAAAGTTTACATTGTGAAACAACCTCAAGTGAAAAAAACACATTGTGAAACAAAGATATGTTAATAGATATCATAAGTCCTGGTCTTTGATGGAAAAAAAAACATATAAAATAGCACATGAATCATTAATTCTCAAGGTTAAACAATTTTATGGGTTCTCAAAAGAAAGTCTCTCTGAATGTGTTTATGTGTGTATATACATGTAAATGCATATATATATATATATATATATATATATACACATATATGAGTGTGTGTGTGTGTGTATAGGGTTAGGTTCCGATGAGAAGAGAAATTATGGTGAAAAATATAAGAAAAGATCATCAACATTGAACTAATCCTAATTGAATGTCAACACTAATGAGGTGTATCGAGATGCACCAGATCAATTACTTTATAAAGCCCAATTCATGAGTAGACAATAAGATTAAAAGTAATCAAATGTTCAAATCTTTTTTTACACTTTTCACTAAAGGTGCTCATGGGTTGAGTTGATCGGGTTGAAGATATTTAAACAACCCAACTCAATGCTTGCGGTTTGAAAAATCTTAACTTAACCCAAACCAAACCAAAGTGCCACCCAACCCAAACCAAACCGTACAGGTTGGTCGGGTGGATACATTAGTACGTTAAAATATTCTTCTAATCTTGAATACGTTGGTACATTTGTCTCACATAATCCAAAGTCTATATACCTTCACAGTATTTTTATTATGAAGTTTCAAATATTAAAATTGTATTTCATGAAAACAGTCTTGTCTCACATGATTTTAAATATATATATATATATATATATATATATAATATAAAATATGGTGATGTGGGGGGAAGGTGAAAGGAGCATGGAAGCATTAATGATTGGATAGGATGAAGTGGGATACTTCCTTTTCTTGGAAATCATTTGGTTGTAGTTGCCCACTTCTTGCTTTCTCTTTTTCAATAAATCATTTCATTTCATTTCTTTTACTAATTAAAATAAATAATTATTATTAAAAATAAACTAAAATAAAAATAAGGAGATGTAATTATTAATTAAGAAGAGATAAAGTATAATATAAAATGGAAAACCTCCTTAGAAAGAAGGTGATTGGAGATCATCAAACTCTCATCATTGCTTGCTCCATCAATATCACACGTGTCCTTTCTTCCATTTTTATTTTTGTTTTCATTTTTATTTTTGTTTGGAATTAATGGTGTCAGCAGCAGCGTCAGCTCCACATTACAATTACAATATGAATTGAATCTACCCAACCATTTATTAGTATATATAAATATCATGTATGTAACTATGTATATATCTAAATACTTCTGTATATGTTATGTATATATGCATATTATTTGTATGTATATATATACATATCGGTTAAATAAACGATTGTCAGGGTAATTCTCAGTTCAATTATAACCCTCATTAATATTAATAATTATCTAGTACTATTAATTATCAATCTATACTATATAATAAAACATTTGACAAAAACTCTTAAAAACCATTTTTTATGCATAAAGTACTGTATATTGATGCATATTACTTAAAATTTAATATTACAAGTAAATTATGCATAAGTACAACTTATTAAAGCTCTATGTTTGAATTCGTGTAATTAACTGCGGGTAAACATAATTAAATAGAGGATAAACATCATATTCTAAAATATAATTAGGATAATTATCGAGATATAACAAAATAATTAATTATTATCTTTATAAGAAAATTATATTATTAAACCAAATATAAATTACTTCGCTATTGAACATAGATCAAATTATAATAAAAAAATTGAATTAAAAAATTACACAAAAGCTAAGAATTTTAAATAGTTAATTTGATACTAATATCGATATATTTTTGTCAAATTTTTATGATATCTTCAAATTTATATTTTATTCAAAAATAAAAACATCATCGTTTTTTCAAAATCACATAAAACCATACTATAACATCGACTGAGATAAAAAATAAAATAAAATATTAAAATCAAAATGTATCCCGCTGAATTGTGTGAATAACCTTCTAGTATATATTAATGAATATTAATTATTAATAAATAAAAATAAAAACAATTTATTACTAACTAGAAGCGTACTCGCGCAATGCAGCGAGATACATCGTGTTTTTAATATTTCATTTTATTCTTTATCTCAGTCGATGTTATAATATGGCTTTATGTGATTTTGAAAAAGCGATGATGTTTTTATTTTTGAATAAAATAT